TCGGCCTGCAGATTGAAGGGTCCCGGGTTCGATTCCGTTCACGGGCATGTACGTTGGTTGCGGGCACATCCCCAGTACAGAGTGTGCAGGAGGCAGCTGATCAATGTTTCTCTCTCATTGATGTTTCTAACTCTCTACCCCTCTCCCTTCCTCTCTGTAAAAAATCAAGAAAATATATTTTTTTAAAAAAGAAAAAAAGACAGTCCTTTCCCACTTGAAAATGAGGTGTGTTCACTCACATGTGTTGGAGTCAGGCTGTCTGTGACAAACCCAGCCTCACCCCAAGCCATCTGTGTGATGTTTAGCCAGGCATTTAAACTCTCTGTACCTCCATTTCCTCATACATACTGTGGTAGTAATAATAGTACCTACCTCAAAGGTAGTTGTGAGAATTAAATCCTACCCATCTACATATCAATAAGCTGGCTGCCCAGCCCAGCCCTCCCGTACCCACCACCGGACAGACCATACCCATGTCCCCTTTCTCAGAATGGATCTCTGCTTCCCTGAGTCAGGCCATTCCACATGTGTTTGGGGATGAGAGTTCTTATAAGCTCTGGTCCCATGTTAAGTTCTTAGCATAGGGCCAGGAATACAATAAACCCAAGATCCATATTAGATATTATTATTAATATCTAATTTATTTTAGGATATATGATGGTGCTGATATTTCAAACAGGGCAGGGAGGGGTGAGTGGGAAAATTGACTCATTATTCATTCAATCATTTTATTTTTCCCTTCATTGTCCCAGAAACATTGGTTAAACCATCTGTCCTGCACCGTCTCCCAGTTTGGACAGTCCCCACACACTCCATTCCCTGTAGGCATGGGTCTGTGTTCGGGCTTCCTATTCTGTTCTGTTCCTCAGTGTCTGCTCTTGTACCAGAACCGTACCACTTTGCTGATTATTGCTTTGCAACACAATCCAATACCCAGTGCTAGTGTAGCCCCATGTTGCCCTTTGTTACTCCTCATCATTTCAGGCACCATCCAGAGGCCAGCAACTGTTCTTATTTGGGGCATTCTCTCTATCTATCTCTCTATCTATCTATCTATCTCTCTATCTATCTATCATCCATATGTATGTTATGTTTCTGCTCTCAGTATCTCTCACTGTCTCTATTATTCTCTTTGTCTCTCTATCCCTGTCCCACCTCAGGTCTCTCCATCTCTCTCTGTATCTCTTGTTCTCTGTGTCGCTCTCTTCCCCTGTGCCGGTCTCTTTGTTTCCATCTCTCTTTGTCTCTGTGAGTCTCTATGTATCCCTGTCTCTCAGTCCCCTGGATAGAGGAGCAGTTGTCAACTTGAAGCTCAACACCCAACAGCTCGCCCAGATACAGAGCGGAAGGGCCCTGGCTCTCACCTAGTCTACATCTCTCCCCTTCCCGGTGTATCAGAGGAGCAAATTGAAGCCCAGAAACGGGTGAGAGGGCCTCTCTCCAGTCCTCACAGAAACACATTGGCAGAGTTGAAACCCTAGTTCAGCTCTTAAGACTCTCAGTGGAACCATTGCTCTGTCTCTCCACTCCCCACTGTGAGCCTCAGTTTACCTCTCAGCACCCATGAGGGGGCAAGGGGACATGGGTTGCCCCCCCATCTGCTGTCATTCTTCATCCTGTCTTCTCACAGGTGGGGCCCTCACTAAAGCAGGAGGATCCATGGTCACATGGTGGGACTTAACCTCCCAAGAGCTAGCTAGGTGGGTCCCAGGGCCCCATGAGAAAGGAGGCCTCGTGGGCAGAGCGTGGTGTTACTAGGAGGACATTAGGCAGAGGGTCTGGCTATGGACAGAGCTCAGCCATGTCCCCAGAGTTGGCAGTGGTTCCCAGCGCCTTTCCAGCGAGCCTGGTGGTGGAATCTCTCCTAGCAAAGGCCAGGGCTTTTCATGCTTCCCGCCACAAGGCCCTCACCAAAGGTGCGCCAGCCTCAACCTCCCCTGTCTTCCTCCCCCGTCTCCGGCAGAGTCTGTGAGTCTAGAACATTGTCCCAGAATGGACAGGGAGACCGAGGGCCTGCGGTATCCACTATCACTGACATTTTGCTAAGCTTTTCATGGAAGATGGAGAATGGTAGGTAGTTAGTAGCAGAGCCTGGCCCCGGGCTGGGAAAGGAGAGGGGATAATACTGACTCTCCTGCCTTCACAGGACTTAGGAGGGAGACTGGGGGGTGAGGGGGGAAGGGGCATTGCAATTCCAGGCCTGGTAGGTGAAAGATCCAATGAAGTAGTGAGCTTGCTGTCCTTCGGGGAGTTTCAGTCTGTTTGGATACTAGGAAGATTGGTTTTCACAAACCAAGAAGTTGGACCCATGGGACCCCATTAGAGTCTGTGGGTTTGAGATCTGAGGTCCTTTTAATCTAAGTAATGATGTTCCGTGACTCTGAGGCTCTGGTTTAATACCATTTAAAGACCCTGAGGGTCCCAGTATCTATGGGATCTGCATGGAACTCCTCAAGCCTCAAATCTCGGACCTATTCTTGCCTGAGAAGGGCCAGGTCTATAGGGCCCGGGGCTTGTCATGGTGGCCAGATGGATGTCACTCACCACATCCGCCAGCATCCCATCACCCCACGTGGGCCACTCCGACTGCAGGATGGGCCAGCCGATTCTCGGAACGAAACCTGTGGGTCGGGGTGTCTGCCCCCTTGTCTTCCTCCTGGGTGCCGATGAAGCCCAACACATCCGGCCGCTGTGACGTCAATGGCGGAAAAACCTGGGGAAGTTGGAGGCTCTGACAACAGGGCCCGGATGCGGACCCCGATATGAAAACACAATCTATGTCCCAGAAACATCCTCCATGCGTCTTCTGAGAAATAGTCAGAAAGGGACGCCCCACCAGACAGTGCAGGAAGCTGGCTGCCCAGCCCAGCCCTCCCGTACCCACCACCAGACAGACCATGCCCATGTCCCCTTTCTCAGAATGGATCTCTGCTTCCCTGAGTCAGGCCATTCCACGTGTGTTTGGGGAGATTTTTTATAAACTCTGGCCAAGTGTCCAGGCAGCCTCAGAAGTGACCTCAGGAAGCTGTGTGGACCACGTCAGGGTAATGGAAAACATCCACTCACTAGCTTGCTCCACTTCTGCAACAAAGTACCACAAACTGGGTGACTTAACAGAAATGTATTGTCTTGGTTCTGGAGGCCTGAAGTGATGGCAGGTGATGGCAGGATTCACTCCTTCTAGAGTAGTGAGGAAGTGTCCAGGCCTCCCTCCTAGCTTCCCGTGATTTCCTGGTAATGTTTGGCCTTCCCTGGCTTGTAGAAGCATCATCCTGATCTCCATCTTCATTCATCCACTCATTCCTTCATTCGCCTCCTTCTTGTCACTAACGTTCGCTCAGGCTCTTATCCTGAGCTCCTGTTTCTCATCCAGCAATGTTCTAACCCCCAGGGGAGACTAAGAGTTGAGTATCTGAATTTTCACTCAGCCTCCCTCAGCACCACAGCTCTGACAACCCCCATGGCTGACAGCAAAGAAAGGAAGGAGCCAGCACTCCTCCAGAACCCTCCTCATACTTCCTCAGGCTGTTCTCGGCAGCTGTGTGCCCCACCCTATACTGATGGGTGATGCTGGAGACACACACAGCCCCGCAGCAGGGGGCCTGTGACATGTGGACACACACACACACACACACACACACACACACACAACCTCTCTGGAGAAAGAAGTGGAGCTCTGAAGTCACCATGGGACTGTGGAATGCTGCAGCTGGGTGTGCTCTTCGTAACATGGAGGTTGGACTGGGCAGTCCCTTCTAGCTCTGACTTCTCTCAGATTGGGATTACAGGATTCTGGGAAACCAAAGCTCTGCCTGTTGGAAAGTATAGGGTTCTAGAGCCACTATGAGGGGCTCTCTGGATTGGCCTTGGACAGGGGGAGAGGAGGAAGAGTGGGCATTCCAGGCAAGCCAAACGGCATGAGCATAAAGGCTTTGGGGCAGGCTGGGGTAGATTCTGATGGGGACTGAATTGAGGCGCTCCACAGGCCCTTCTTGCTCAAGAGAGCCTATCTCTCCTCCTGTCTGCCACCTACCATAGCAGTTCTGTGCAGGGCAGAGACCAGAGATGACCAGACTCCTGTACTCAGCTGCCCATTCAGCATTTCCACTACTATGTCTAATGCCAGACCCTTCAAGTTCATCCACATTTGAATCATCACCCCTTTCTTTGCTTCCTCCATCTCCCTCATCCCTGGTCACATCAGCTGTCCCTACAGCTGCTCTGTCACCTTGACTCTCTCTCTCTCTCTCAGCCCCAGATCCAAGCTACCAGAAAGTTCTCTGACTCCACCTTCCAAACATGCTCAGAATCCACCCACTTCTCACCATCTCCACTGTCACCATCCTGGTCTGTGCTACCATTGTCACTTCCTGGGACTGTTGCAGTAGCTTCCTCGCTAGTCCTCTGTTTCTGCCCTCACCTTCCTACAGTCTTCACAGCAACCAGCGGGATCTTTTGAGTCCATGTCCCCTGCCACTCCCAGATGTGCCCGTCACTAGGATAAAACTATGCTCCCAGAAGAAAATCAGAGACCACAGTCTCAGTGGGATCAGCAAAGGTTGTGTGACCGATGCCAGTTTCAGGGGGACCAGAGGGCTGAGGCCTGAATTCAAGGCCTCAAGAGACGGGGGAAGGAGCTGAGACCTACCGTGCTGAGGCCCCACAAACCCCAAGTGCCCCCACAAACCCCATCCCCACCAGGGCTATGCCAGCATGTGCAGGCAAGCCACATGCTGAATGGTATAATTCTGCATATGGGACATGTGTGCAGACACACACACACACCCATGTTCCTGGCACCAATGTGTGTGTAGGTGTGCATGCACCATGATCAGAGCTGGGGTCTAGTTGTGGGGTCCTTTGGGGCATGTCCCAGCCAATGACTGCTCTGACCAGAGAGGATGTCCTCATGGTTCAGGTGGTTGAGTATTTGCACGCCACCAGCTCATGTGTAACTGTCTTCCTTATGTCTCCACAGCCTGACCTTGGACAAGGACCCAATGCCCAACCCCAGGCCAACCAAGCCCTTGGCCCCGTCCTTGGTGCTCAGCCCATCCCCAGGAGTCTCGTCCAGCTGGAGGGCTGCACCCAAGACCTCAGACCTGCTGGGGGCCAAGGGCTCGGGAGCAACCTTCCAGGGACGGGACCTCCGAGGTGGGGCCCATGCCTCCTCCTCCTTCTTGAACCCCATGCCACCATCACAGCTGCAGGTGAGGCCCGGGGCCCAGGATGGAGCAAGCAGGGTGGAGTACCTGGGCCTACAGGTGCCGACCTTTACTGTGGCACCGGGCGGGGGGCCCAGCTGGGGCACAGGAAGTGGTTTTCTGGGTCCCAGGCAAGTCTGTGACTTATGCAGATGTCACGGGGCCAAGAAAATCCCCACTTAGCAGGTCTCAGAGACCCGAGGCTCTCCCCAAACTCCCAATCCCGCTCAGGAGAGGAAGCTTTATCATGGTCCCACAGGTATGGCCATGTGTCCCCATCCCCACGTGACAGAAGAGAGGATGGGGCCCTAGAACATGAGGTGACAGAGTTGAGGCCCGTTCTGCCACTTATTAGTTGGTGGATGTTTAGAAAGTCACCCAATCTCCCTGAGCCCGAGTTTTTACATATGTATAAAGGGGATGGTCCTAGTATCTACCACGTGGGGTTGTGGTGAGGAGCATATGTATTCGACATTTAGAACAGTGAGGATGCGGATGGCATCTCTCCTGCCTGCCTTCTCCCCGCAGGTGCCCACAGTGCCCCTAGTCATGGTGGCACCTTCTGGAACACGGCTGGGTCCTTCGCCCCACTTGCAGGCACTCCTACAAGACAGGCCACACTTCATGCACCAGGTATGGACGGTGACTCGGCAGGGAGGAGGGAGGAGGTGGGGGAATTGGGAGGAGGGAGGAGGTGAGGGAATTGGGAGGAGGCCAGGTGGAACCATAGTCTCTATGTGCCCCCAGCTCTCAACAGTGGATGCCCATGCCCGGACCCCTGTGCTGCAGGTGCACCCACTGGACAGACCAGCTATGATCAGCCTCCCGCCACCCACTGCTGCCACTGGGGTCTTCTCTCTCAAGGCCCGGCCTGGCCTGCCACCTGGTAATACCACACCCCGCAGCCCCCACAGAATCCCAGAGCCCCCAAGTCCTTGACTGTGAGCGGTGGAGGCTGCTGAATTGCGGCCCTCAAGGGTTAGGGGTCGGGTTTTGTCATCTCAGAAACCCCAGCCTCCGAAAAATGTCAGGCTCAGAACCTGAAAGGTGCAGAACATCGAAATCACGGAAGCAGATCTTTGCAGAGCTCATCAAAATGTCAGCCGTTGCAAATGGCAATCTTTGAGATGCCCCCAGAGGTTCAGGAGGGCGGGAAGCAAAAGGAGAGGCCTTGAGAGCAGAGCCCAGCTCAGAGCCTCCATCTCCAGAGGTGCCCTGTCTCTGCCCACAGGGATCAACATGACCAGCCTGGAGTGGGTGGCCAGGGAGCCGACACTGCTCTGCACCTTCCCAAGCCCTGGTGCGCCCAAGAAAGACAGGTCAGTGGGCACGGCTGGAAAGGACCCTTGCCTTGGTATTCCCTCCCCTGACACCATCTGTCCCCCCAGCACCCTCTCGACCGTGCCCCAGGGCTCCTACTCACTGCTGGCAAATGGCGTCTGCAAGTGGCCCGGATGTGAGAAGGTCTTTGAGGAGCCAGAGGACTTCCTCAAGTGAGTGGCCCAGGCCTAATCCAGTCCAGGGCGGTCCCGTTTGTGGGAGGAGGTCTGGGGTGCAGGTCTCAGCTCAGGCCTCACCCTGGTAGTAATTTGATAAAAGAGGCAAAAGCTCAGCCCTGGCTTCTGTAGCTCAGTGGTTGGAGCATCGGCCTGCATACCAAAGGGTTGTGGGTTCAATTATTTGCCAAGGGCACATACCTACAATCCCTGGCCCCAGTCTAGGCACGTGCAGGAGGCAACCAATCCATGTGTCTATTTCACATCCATGTCTCTCTCTCTCTCTCTCTCAAAATGTACACATACCTCCTTCTACTCTCTCTAAAAATCTATGGAAAATATATCCTCGGGTAATGATTAAAAAAAAAAAAGAGGCAAAAGCTGAGATTGAGAATTCAAATCCAGGCTCCATCCATCACTGGCTGTAAGATCTTGGGCAAGTTGCTTAGCTTCCCTGGACCTTGGTTTTTTCATCTATATATGGGGCAAAATACTTGTCACGTGTACTGTTATTTACCTGTGCTATTGTTTTAGAGACAAAGCAACAGGCCAAAGAGGTTCAGTGTGCTGATCGAGGTTACCCAGTTCCTAAGTGACAGAACTGGGATTTGAACCCAGGTAGCCAGGCTCCAGAATCCACACCTCTACTGCTTTGCCTGTCATGCCAACACACCAGGATGATTTTATTGATCCCCAAAGTCCCAGCTCCTCAAAATGGCTTTTGCTGCCTCTTCTTAGCTTCATCACAACCAGAGACCTCCAAATACCAAACACACACACACACACACACACACACTTTCTCCAATCTTACCCAACTATCACTGGCAACTCAATGTATCCTGTCCTCGTCACCACCAGGCTTTCCCTCCGCCTGGAATGCCTTTCCTGCTCTCACCTACCTGGCCGCTCCCAGCTTACCTCCTGCTAAGTCATCTCCAACACCCTGGCCAGGCTCAAGTGGCCCGCTCAGGCCTGGCACAGAGGAGATACCAAGCAGCATGTGTTGAAGGAATGAGGGGTGTGAGAGGGAGACAGGTGGAAGGGTTAGAGGCTGAGCTCTCCCCATTGAGAACATTGAGCCACGAGGCCAGGCCTGCCATGACCACCGGCATGGACTCTCCCCCTCCCCAGGCACTGCCAGGCGGACCATCTCCTGGATGAGAAGGGCAGGGCGCAGTGTCTCCTCCAGAGGGAGGTGGTGCAGTCTCTGGAGCAGCAGGTGACGTGGCTGGGGTGATGGTGGGGGGATGGTGGGCACACCTATGTCCACCCTGTGCCATAGGCTGAGCTCACCCCGGATGGAGACTAACTGAAGGAAGGAAGGGGGAAGGGCACTCCCAGGGCAGAAACAGGGTGGGAAGAGACCAGGCTAAGGCTTCACTGTGACTGTCCTCATAGCTGGTGCTGGAGAAGGAGAAGCTGGGTGCTATGCAGGCCCACTTGGCTGGGAAGATGGCCCTGACCAAGCCTCCATCCGTGGTAAGTCTCCCCGGCCTCGGGGCAGGGACGGGCCGTGCAGTGTGCAAAGGACCTATCCTTCCATCAGGGCCCTGGGATCTGTGAGCCCCCGCTCCCAACTCCAAACATGCCCGGATCTGAGCCTCTACGCCCCTCCACCTACAACCCCTCTGACCCTAAGCTCTTGAAATAGCATAACCTTGTTTTCAAAGCCACATCAAGTAGCTAGACACTTCATGGACGCAGGCTGTGTGTCACTGGCAGGACTGGCTGTATGACTCGCAGGGCCCAGAGCAAAATTAAAATGCAGGCCTCGGATTTCAAGGTGGCAGCCACAGAGCATGAAACAAAGGGAGGGCCCCGTGCGGTTGTGCAGGTCACATGCCCACGAGGTGGGCCCTGGGTCACAGGCACTGCTTCTGATCCCTTTGCTGGTGTGACCTTACTCAGTTCTCGTGATACCACTGTGATGTAGGCACTGCTATCATCCCTAACCCCCAGGTGAGGGAAACTGAGGCCAGGCAGACATAAGTGACTTGGGTAATGGAGCCCATTTCAACCCCAGCTCACCGCCCCAGCATTGATGAGCTACCCACACTCGTGCCCACACCACAGTCTGATAAGCACAGCTCCTGCTGCTTTGTGGGAAAACATACCAGACTGGAGTTGAGAAGAGAGCACCCTTGCTTTTAAGTTGTTTTGTGTGTGTGTGTTTTCTTTATTGATGAGAGAGAGGGAGAGAAAGAGACGTGAGAGAGAAACTATCAGTTGTCTCCTGTACATACCCCTACAATGGACAGAACCTGCCACCTGGGCATGTGCCCTGACCAGGAATCGAACCAGTGACCTTTTAGGACAATGCTCAACCAACTGAGCCACACTGGCCAGGGCAGGGCGCCCTTAGTTTTAAAAACACCCACTTATTTAAAATTCAAGTGGAAAGTTTCGGCCTCTGGGTCAGCAGCCTCTCCCTCGCCACACCCAGGTGTCATCCGACAAGGGCTCCTGCTGCATTGTGGCCGCCGGCACCCCCGGTGCCACCGTCCCACCCTGGCCCGGCCCCCAGGAAGGCCCCAATGGCCTGTTTGCTGTGCGAAGGCACCTCTGGGGCAGCCACGGACATAGCACATTCCCAGGTAAGAACAGTCTGTGTCCTGCATGGTGTCCCTGAAACCCTGACCCCCAGACTGTCGTGCTCTGGGGTGGGGTTCCCTACTGCTCTTCCCCATCACCGCCACCTTGGGACAAGCACATCTGCTTGCAAAGCTTCCTGTCCGGGTGCCTGCGGCCTGTAAGTTCCCATCAGGATCTCAGATGTCTAGCCCCATCTCTGCTGGGCAGTGGGGCTTCAGCTATTCCATTTGGTCCTCAAAGGGAACTACCTATGTGATTTCCAGGGGTCTCCCTCACCCCCTCAAGTTCACCAATCCCCTAATAAGGTGACCAGACATCCTGCTTTTGGCGGGACAGTCTCGATTTTTAACAATCTGTCCCGCGTCCCGCGGGACTTCTGGTTACCTTACCCTACTACCCAAAAGGCCTGGGCTGTGGGTTTAACAGGGATCAGGGCTCTCGAGTGTCATCCTGGTTCTGCCACTTAACCAATTATGTCCTTTTGGTGTGGAAGTGGCTTCCCTGCCTTTGAACCTCAGAGAGGTTACACCGTTTTGCGGGGAGTGGTACAGTGAATGACACAGGTTACAGCCAGTGCTCAGCCAATAGTAACTGGTCATGGGAAGAGTGGAGGGTAGGAGGGAGTGAGGAGGTTTAGGGGGGCCTGACTCCTCTCCCCCCTCGGACAGAGTTCTTCCACAACATGGACTACTTCAAGTTCCATAACATGCGGCCCCCGTTCACCTATGCCACTCTCATCCGCTGGGTAAGCGGGACAGCGCGGGCCATGGAGGAAGAGGAAGACGGGGTGGGGACCGGCCTCCCAAACCCCAGCCTCCCTCTGAACACCCCCAGGGAGGCCTCCTAAAAAAAAAACTACCCCTCAGATGTGATTCCCCAGACCTGCCCCCACACCCAAACCTAAACCATCACCCATGCCAGGGCAGGCCAAATGCTGGCCTGAACCCCACTCCTTTCCTGATGTCCTTATCTGTCCCCAGCCTGAGTCTAACCCACCCCTTCCCTGACTCTGGCTCTGCCTGGTCCTTCACATCTTCCAAGCCTTTCACTTGACCCCACCCTGGCCCTTAATCTTCCCAAACCTTGAAACCTCACCCCTAGAGAGAACCCCCACTCCAACCCCATCCCAGACCTTGAACCTAATGCCAGCCCTAACCCTGTGCTGGACTCTACTCTCAACTCAGCTGGTGATCCCCATCCTGGCCCATCCTCACCCCACGTCTAACCCTGTCTGATCCATCACCTCCACACCATTGCCCTCCCTCCCTTCTCCTGCCCCAGGTCAAATGCCCCTCAGCCCAACTTTGGGGAAGCACATGCCCTTTACCCGCACCCCCTGAATTCCAGGCCATCCTGGAGGCTCCCGAGAAGCAGCGGACACTCAGTGAGATCTACCACTGGTTCATCCGCATGTTCGCCTTCTTCAGAAACCACCCCGCCACCTGGAAGGTGAGCGCCTCTGGAGGCGGCAGGGCCAGGACGGTCTCAGATGCCACCAGTGCCGGGCCGAGCCTGGGGCCGGGCTTGCACACATGACGGGAAGGGGCAGGAGGCTGGTTTGTGGTAGACTGCTGGTGTCAGAGGATGACTGCCTGCCCGCTGCCTCCACCCGGCCTGACTGGCTGCCCCTCCTTCCACAGAATGCCATCCGCCACAACCTGAGCCTGCACAAGTGCTTCGTGCGGGTGGAGAGCGAGAAGGGGGCCGTGTGGACCGTGGACGAGTTTGAGTTCCGCAAGAAGAGGAGCCAGAAGCCCAGCAGGCGCTTCAACCCCCTAGCCGACCCCTGACTGCACAGCCAGGGAAGGGAAGGACAGGGGCCGAGATGGGGGGCAAAGTGGCAGGGAGTGGGGGTGACAGGCCTGGACATCCCCACGGCGACCAGGAAGTGTGTGCGCTGTCTTGCCTTCCAGGGACCCTACTACCAAGCTGACTACCCCCTGGGTCATATGCTCTGCACCAAGGCTGCTCAGAGGGACCTCAGCCCCGCACCCCCATCAGAGCCCCCTATGACCGGCTCTGCAGGAAAACTGAGCCTTCCCAATTGACCACACGCACAGCCTGCCTCGGGCACTCACAGGCAACCTAGGGCTGAAAAACAACAGTCACAGTCCTGTCCCTTGAACTTCATACAAAGAGCCTGTCTCAGTACACTCACAACCTCACATCTGCAGTCACACAGACAATCGCACCCGAGTACGCCTGTCAACCCACATACCCCAGAGCACACCCCCACAGCCAGCCTCCAGACCCCTAGGCCAGTGGTCGGCAAACTCATTAGTCCACAGAGCCAAATATCAACAGGACAACGGCTGACATTTCTTTGGAGAGCCACATTTTTTAAACTTAAACTTCTCCTAATGCCACTTCTTCAACATAGACTCGCCCAGGCCGTGGTATTTTGTGGAAGAGCCACACTCAAGGGGCCAAAGAGCCGCATGTGGCTCGAGAGCCGCAGTTTGCCAACCACTACCCTAGGTGCAGTGTCACATGGGGGATGCCTACACACCCACACAGAAGCAGCCTTAGTGCCTTCAGGGTCTCAGGTCCTGGAAAGCCACATGGACACATACCAGTCACACACAGTCTCACGCAGCTCCTACCACTTACGCTTGGTCACACAGTCCATTAGAACTCACCTGCACATCACGCACCCACACGCACATGCACACAGTGCCCCAGTGGGTCTCCTGAGTCCCACACGACACACATGGTCACATACACCGACTCGCCAAACCAAACATGCCCTGGGTCTTACCTGCCACCCACACCCTGCCCCGCCTGAGCCCTGTGCCCCCATCCATGCCTCAGCTTAGACTGCAGACAGAGCCCCTCATTTATTTGGTATCGAAGGCCCTGACCTCCAGTACTGTCCCCAATAAAGTGCAGCCAAGCTCCCAGTGTCTGGATGTTCGCCCCAAATAAGGGTTGGGGTCAGGTGGGCAGGTGTCACCACAGCGGGAGGGGCTGGGCAGCAAACACGGGGGACAGGTAGGGCGAGCGCTTGGCCAGCACTTCCAACACGCCCAATCCCTGCTGAAGCCTGGGGGGAGGGAGATCCCTGCCCGGCCCCTCAGGTCTCCCGGACCCGCCCCAGGAGGCCGGCGTTCTCCTGGCGAAGGGCCCGGTAGTCCTCTTGGATCTTCTCCAGGTTGCTGAGGGTCTTCTTGCCCATCTCCGTCTCGATCTAGGCAACATGAATGACGTCCCTACAGCAAGCAGGCCTTCCTTCCCGGCTCCTGCTTACCACCCTCCATCAGAGCCACTCGGGGCCCTTCCTGGGCTCCTCCCATCCCAACAGTCTCTTCTGTCCCACTGCCAGGCCCCTTGGTGTGCCATCCCTACGTGGCAGGATTACCCACCACACACTCAGGCTGAAGCCTCTGTCAACGCCCTGGGAGGCAGGCCTGGGGGCCTGTGAGGTGGAAGCCGGAGCTCAGAGCACGTCCCCGGCCTGTTCCAGGTCAAGTGCGTGGCTCAGGGGCGGGGCAGAGATTCCAGCCATAAGCTGTGTCTGCTTCCATAGCCTGTCTTGGGATAAACTGAGGAGCTGTCCCCCTGGCCTGCCTTGGTTTCCCCTCTCACCCCCAGGCCTCACCTGCTCCTCAAGGTCTCGAACCTCACGCATGATGGTGCCTGTGTCCTCAATGGTCTGGATGAGCTGGCTGCAGTTCTGGGGACAGCAGGAAGACAAGGCTTACGCCCCACTCCGCCCCTCCCCTGCCAGCCCGAGGCATGCTTCTCCCCTCACCTCATGCAGGGCAGCTAGATACTTGTAGGCCTTCCGAACAGCGTCATCCTTCTTGGCATCCTGAACAGACAAAGGACCTCCGAGGTATCAGTGGGCTGTCCTGCTACGCACCACCTCCAGGTCCCACAAGGCCACCCTCTCCCACCCCCGTGACGTAATCCTCCATGGAGCAGAGCCAGGCCTGAGCATCAGTGTACCTGCAAGGCTCACACAGGGCCCAGGCCCAAGGCAGCCCATGAGCACATGGGCAGGCAGCAGCTCAGCCCCACTCACCCCCCTCCGCCCGCCCCCGCCTGCCCCACACCTTGAACACAAGCTCATCAGTCACCGCAAACGTCCGGTCCAGCTTCCCAGACAGAGAGTTGATTTCCTTCTGAAGCTCCTTTGTATCAGACAAGATCTGGCAGAGACCAGGGCCGTGAGCCTATGCCTGGGGTGGGCAGCTGACCAGCTAAAGGCTTTCCTGCACATGAGCTCACATCCAGACAGGGCCTGTGTCACTGTGTCAGTGGGAACCAGAGTGTACTGTGTGGGACTGCTCTGGGTCATGTGTGGCTCTGCCTGTCAGAGTGTGGAATCCCCGTGCAGCCACACCACACACAGCAGACATGCCCAAAGGACCCACCCTCCATGGCCATGGCAGCACACCTTAGTGATCTCTTCCTTTTGCTTCCGGATGTTTCCCACAATCTCCAGGATGCGCTGGGTGTAGGCCAGCCGGGACACGTCTCTGGGCAGGGTCTCCAGCTCGGACACCTAAGCAGAGAGCCAAGCAGGCACTCCCCAGGACCCACGCCCACCCACCCTGAGCCCCCCCGGGCTCCGGCACGGGCCTTACCAGCTGCTTATAGACCTCTTCCTTCCTGCGAGCCTCCTCGGCAGCTGCCCGCACACTCTGGTGCAGCTCCTGGATCTCTGCCAGCCGTCGAGAAGATTCCAGCTGTCAAGACCCCACACAGGGAGAGGGCAGTCAGCAGAGCACGGGGGACGGACTCCTAGGCAAATACCAAACCTGTCCTGCCTGCAGCCCAGGACCCCACCACCTACCTCTCTGCAATCCTGGAGCTTTCGGAGGTGGCGGTACTCAGCAAGAAGCGGGACCCGGTGCTTTTCCCACTGGCCCGCCAAATGGATGACCCGCTGGGCGCTGCTCTCTACCACGAGCTGGGAATGGTGGGAGGAGGGAAGGTGTTACCCAGTCTGGGCGCTTCCACCTCTGACCCTCCTGCTCCAGCCTCAGCCCCACGCCCAGCCCCAGCCCCACCTGCAGCTTGGCGAGGTTGGCAGCCCCGTCTGGCAGCAGCTCCACCGCCCGGCTCTTCAGGCGCAGGGCCTGCTCCCTCTCGGCCATGCTGAGCTCCGTCTGCCGACACTCGGTCTCCACCTGGTACCCCGGGACTCCCAAGCCCAGTCAGTGGGGGGGTTCGAACACACATCACAGGCTCCCAGCCCACACTGAGCCTGGCAGGCCCTGACCCAGCCTGAGCCCAGATAAGCCACACCCCTCCAGCCCCGATGGCCCCCTTGGCCCCTCCTGAGAGCAACAGAGACCTACATGCAGAAACGGGCACCCACAGGCCCCTGTGACTCCTCCACCTCCACGCTGACCCCAGAAGCCCTGACAAGCCCTAAACCTCCTGCCGTGCAGACCAATCATGCCCCACAGATGCCCAGAGATTAAGGTGCCCAGATGTCCCGCTTTTGGCGGGGCAGTCCCGGTTTTTAACAATTTGTCCCGAGTCCCGCGACGGTTTAAAAATCCGGTGGAATAAAACATCGGGACTTTTTTAAACCCCCGCGGGACTCGGGACAAATTGTTTAAAACCGGGACGTCTGATCACCTTACCAGAGATGCCCACACATGTCCTAATCCTCACAGACACTCGCCAGGCCTGACCAGTGCTCACAGACACTCTCACCCCTACGGGTCCACCAAGCCCTGAACCACGCATCCCCTTCCCACCCCTAACGATGCTCCTGAACCCTCAAGAGCCCACACATCCCTAAAGGCCCCAATAAATCCTTATGTACTTGCAGACCTCTATGGAGTACCTCTCAGCCCCCTCCCGCCCCCAAGCTCTTTAGCCCAGACTTATGACTGGACCCGACACAGCCCTGCCCACACCTGCACCAGGCCAAGTCCCAGCGTCTTCATGCTGGCTCCGATCTCTTCAATGCTGCGGTTCACGCCCTCCAGCTGCTCCTGGAGGGCTTCCAGCTCCTGCTCTTGAGAGGAACAGTCCTGGGAGGAACAGTCAGTCAGGGTCGGGTGTCAGGCTCAGGAGACAGACAAGGGACCAGGATACGCCTCGGACACGCCTCGCTGCTCCGCTCACCTGTTCCGGCCACCGGGAGGTGGCCAGCACCTCTGACACCTGGGCTGCCTGGGCCTCAGGCTCCTGGGGGAGGGAGAAGGAGCATCTCACTGTCGAGGAAGGCCTTGCCCCTCACAGCCCAGCTCAACAGCCCCCACAATCACCTTCCCGTTGAACAGCTGGTGGCCATACCCATGCCCACTTAGCAGCTGGTGACTATCAGACTGACCATATGAGGATCAAGGCAGTCTCTGTGACCTCAGACTAGGGTGTCTGCTCACTAACAAACCTCCCTGATCCTGCTCACCTGCCCTGTCTCTGAAGCCCCAGCTTCCCATGAGAAGGATGAGTGCCCCTCTGGGTGACATCCAAGGAGGGCCCAGAGGAAACTTCCTGGGAAGCCTGGAGTTTGCACAAAGAACACCCGTCCAGCCCTAATTGGTTTGGCTCAGTGGATAGAGCGTCAGCCTATGGACTGAAAGGTCCCAGGTTTGATTCCGGTCAAGGGCATGTACCTTGGTTGCAGGCACATCCCCAGTAGGGGGTGTGTAGGAGGCAGCTGATCGATGTTTCTCTCTCATCGATGTTTCTAACTATCCCTCTCCCTTCCTCTCTGTAAAAAATCAATTAAAAATGTTTAGAAAAAGAAGAAGAAGAAGAAGAAGAAGAAGAAGAAGAAGAAGAAGAAGAAGAAGAAGAAGAAGAAGAAGAAGAAGAAGAAAAGAAAAGAAAAGAAAAGAAAAGAAAGAAAGAAAGAAAGAAAGAAAGAAAGAAAGAAAGAAAGAAAGAAAGAAAGAAAGAAAGAGAAAGAAAGAAAGAAAGAAAGAATTAAAGAAAGAATTAAAGAAAGAAAGAAAAGAACAGCCCTGACCAGTTTGGCTCAGTGGATAGAGTGTCGGCCTGCGGACTCAAGAGTCCCAGGTTTGATTCCGGTCAAGGGCATGTACCTTGGTTGCGGGCACATCCCCAGTAGGGGGTGTGCAGGAGGCAGCTGGTTGATGTTTCTCTCTCATTGATGTTTCTAACTCTCTATCCCTCTCCCTTCCTTTCTGTGAAAATCAATAAAATATATTTTAAGCCGAAACCGGTTTGGCTCAGTGGATAGGGTGTCGGCCTGCGGACTCAGAGTCCCAGGTTTGATTCCGGTCAAGGGCATGTGCCTTGGTTGCGGGCACATCCCCAGTAGGGGGTGTACAGGAGGCAGCTGATTGATGTGTCTCTCTCATCAATGTTTCTAACTCTCTATCCCTCTCCCTTCCTCTCTGTAAAAAATCAATAAAATACATATTTTGAAAAGAACACCCTTGCATCCTTATATGGTTCCCACCCTCCACCCTTTCTCCACTGAAGTCCTGGAGAAGCCAGGGGACCCCTGAGCAACAGCCCCTAGATTGGAGAGGCCACACCTGGTTGGGAACACAGACACCTGGGTGGCTAAGGTATGGTGTTGGCACATAAAGCAACCACCCGCATGCCCATCGCCCCCTCAGGCCCACCCACCAGACGGAAGGTGAACTTCTCTGAGTGTGTGAAGCGGGAGCCCTTGGGAGCAGCAGTCTTGGTGCCAGCACCCCAGGTCTGCAGCAGCTCTCCCAGGTCCCGGGCTTGCGGGGACGGCCCCGGCTGGCCCCAGATCTGACGCAGGTGTTCAGCCAAGTGCTTCTGCAGCCGCTGCCGCTGCGCCCGAGTGTCCTCCTGAGAACAGAGCGGGGCAAATGGGACGGTGTAGAGGCCTCCCGTCCGCCCAAGGCCCTGCCTCTTCTGGGAGCCACGTGACAGGGGGCAGCTGACACATCACCCCCCCAGCCGCTCCCACTGAGGGGGCTCCCAGCCTGCTTCCCTGGCCCACGGGTCTGGGGGTCTCCTCTTCCTCACAGCCACGCTACCCTCCACCTACTCACTCTTCACACTGAAGGGAAATGTGGGGAGGTGGTGAAGCCTGCCGGCCCCAAATCAGAGAGAGACGCGGGAAGGATATGTGGGGACAGAGCAGAGACAGAGTCAGAGGTGCTGGGCAAAGAAGGGGGTGGAGGCAGAGAGAGAAAGATAAGAACAGGGGTAGTTTTGCCCTAGCCAGTTTGGCTCAGTGGATAGTGTCAGCCTATAGAAACAGAGGATGGGGCAAATGAGGCAGTGTAGAGTCCTGGGTTCGACTATAAGGAAGCAAGCTATAGCGATGTGTCTCTCTCACATCAGTGTTTCTCTCTGTCTCTCCCTCTCCCTTCACTCTCTCTAAAACTCAATGGGAAAATATCCTCGAGTGAGGCTTAACAACAACAAAAGAATAGGGGTAGTTTTGCCCAGCCAGCATGGCTCAGTGGTTGAGCATCAATCTATGAACCAGGAGGTCACAGGTTCGATTCCTGGTCAGGGCACATGCCCAGGTCATGGGCTCCATCCCCAGTAAGGGGAGGGCAGGAGGCAGCCAATCAATGATTCACTCTCATCATTGATGTTTCTAGCTCTCTGTCGTTCTCCCTTCCTCTCTGAAATCGATAAAAAATACATATTTTTTAAAAGAACAGGGACAGTTTTGAGACAACTGAGGAAATCTGATTGTGAACGGTATTAAGAGATCATTGTGCCCTAGCCGGTTTGGCTCAGTGGATAGAGTGTCTGCCTGTGGACTGAAGGGTCCTGGGTTCAATTCCAGTCAAGGGCACATGCCCGGGTTGTGGGCTCCATCCCCAGTAAGGGTCATGAAGGAGGCAGCCAATCAATGGTTCTCTCTCATCACTGATGTTTCTATCTCTCTCCTCCCATCTCTAAATTCAATAAAAATAAATATTTTTAAAAAGAGAGAGAGATGATTGTTAATTTTTGTTAGGTATGAAATGGCACAGGGTTACATTAAAAAGTGAATGCCCTTATGAGTTAAGGCATACACGTCAGTAGAGTTAAAAATGACATGTTTGGGATTGACTGGAAATTAATACAGAAGAAACATTGGGGAAACTAGATGAAGAAAGATTGGCAAAATACTTGTAGTTGAAGGTGAGTGACAGGTACAATGATTCATTAGAACAGAAATTCTCTCTACTTCTATGTTTGGAATTTTCTGTAAGTTTCAAAAAGACAGATAAAGATGGAACACATGGCAGTGGGGGAGACAGAAAGAGAATGTTGTATCTGGGGTGGGGCGGGAACCGGGTGGAGGGGGGCAATGGGGGGTAAGGGGGGAACATCTGTAATACTCTCAACAATAAAAAGCTTTAAAAAGAAAAAGGCCATTACCGCCCAGCCAATGTGGCTCAATGGTTAGATTCCTAGTCAAGGTATAGGCCTAGGTTGTGAGCTCCATCCCCAGTGGTGGCGAGTAGGAGGGAGCCAGTTCGTGTTTCCCTCTCATGGATGTATCTCTCTCTCTCCCTCTCTCCCCCTCTTCCTCTCTCTCAAGAAAAAAAAAAAATAAGAGGCTGTTGTAGAGGTGGGCAGAGGGGAGAGTGGACGGATCCAGATGAACAGAGTGGGAAAGCCGACACAGAAATGAGAAGAGGGGCAGCAAAACCACAGAATGAGAGAGTGACCAGAGGCGTAATGCAAAGAGACTTTGAGACAGAGGAGATGGGCGTCGCTGACAATGGCGGAGACAGAAAGAGTGCAAGGCTCCGGGTGGGCAGAAGGTGGGCAGAAGCAGGGAGGACGGAGCTGCTGCAAACTCATGTTCATTTTTCTCAGTGAAACGCAGAGCACTATGACCATCCGGGTCTTATTGACTCCTCCCCAATCCACAGCCTTTCTGACTCAAGTGTTCTCGCAGGGGGGAGGGGGGCCGAGGCAGATGCACACAGAGGGGAGACGATGACAGAGAGGGACAGAATGGGGGAAGAGGAGGGGCGGCAAAACCAATGGGAGATAAAATAGGAGCAACAATGACAGGACCTTCGCAGCAGGAAGTGAAGTACAGGGCAGTACCTGGGAGGGGTGGCGGGATGCCCGGTGGACCCAGTCCTTGTCCCCGGGGTGGTCCTGGCCTGTGTGCCGGCAGAGCTGGGCGGCATGGCATTCGAGGAGCGAGGCTACCCTCCCCGCAGGCTGAGGCACCTGGGCGGGGGCCGGTAGTAACAGGGAGCTTGCCTGGAACTCCCGGGCCTCTGGAAGCAGGAACAGAGTCAGCCAGGCCCACCTCCCCGTCCTCCCCAGCACCTCCGCCGTCCTCCCCAGCACCTCCCCAGAGTCTCATGCTCACCTCCTTTGGAACTCATTTCAGGCATGGCAAGCCTGCTGGCATGGAAAGGGTTCTTGGGGGCCGGGCCCTGGGGGGAGACAGAGTCAGAGCCTCTGAGGTGAACCGTGACGGAGCGCACTGGTGAGAGGGGCCAACAATGAGAGCACCCGGATGGGGACAAGGAAAGCCAGGCGGGGACAAGCAGAGATCAGCCCGAGTTGGGGGGTCCCACCTGGAGGCGCTGCAGCTTAGGAGTGCGAAGGAGGGGTGGCACCCAAGGCAGGGCCAGCTGGTCCCGGATTTGGCTCCCAATGGCCCGGGGGAGGATAGCTGAGTCACCTGTGGGGGTAGGGAGGGAGTGTCAATCAGGTGACAATGCCACAACTGCACAAATACGGACCGTGGGAAAATAGCCATCGCTCCCTGACCCCACCCCCCAAGAGGTGCACTCCTATCTAGCTCTCAAACTCACACTCAGTCATTCAACAAATACTTACTGAGTACCTACTATGTACCAGCCACTACTTGAGACTCTCAGGCTCTCAGTGACCACGAGGAGATCATAACTAAGGTCATAAGGAGGGTACAGAAAACTGTCAGATGACGATCAGGAAAGGAAGACAGGACTATTGAGAGGACGATGTCATTTTATTTTTTAAAAAAATATTTTTTATTGATTTTTAACAGAGAGGAAGAGAGAGAGATAGAGAGCTAGAAACATCGATGAGAGAGAAACATCGGCCAGCTGCCTCTTGCACACCCCCTACTGGGGATGTGCCCGCAACCAATGTACATACTCTTGACCGGAATCGAACCTGGGACCTTTCAGTCCGAAGACCGACGCTCTACCACTGATCCAAACCGGCTTCGGCAAGAGAGGACGATGTCATTTTAAATGAGGCAGTCTGCGACTGGCCTCCCTGATATGACGTGATCAGAAATCAAGAGGCTATCTGGCCCAGCTGGTGTGTCTCAGTGGTTGCACGTCAACATATGAACCAGGAGGTCATGGTTCAATTCCTGGTCAGGGCACATGCTTGGGTTGTGGGCTCAATCCCCAGTAGGGGGCATGCAGGAGGCAGCTGGTGGATGATTCTCATCATTGATGTTTCTCTCTCTCTCACCCTCTTTCTTCCTCTGTGATATATATATATATATATATATATATATATATATATATATATATATATATATATATATTTTTTTTTTTTTTTTTTTTTTTTTAAGGCTATCTGAGGGGGACAGTAATCCAACCAATTCAAAGGCCCTGAGGCTACAGTGCACCTGGCATATGTGAAGGCGTCAAAGAGGCCAATGGGGTTAGAATGAGGGGAAGCAAGGCAGGAGGTGAGGCAGGGAAGCCCCTCCCAGCACCAACTCACCTGGTTCAGCCTAAGTCCTAGCCCCTTCCGCCCACCCTGTATCCCTTCTTCCAGCCCTAATCCCAGTTCTCCCAAAGACACATATCCCCACCCCCCCTCTGGCAACCTCTTTACCATCTCCATCTCTCTCAGCCCCTGTAACACCCAAGAATGCCATCCTCTCCCCTCACCCGCATTATACCCCAGGTACCCTATACCTGCAGTCTGGTCTGCATCCTCAGAGGCATCCGTAGGTAGACGCTCAGCTAAGAAGAGAAGCAGGTCCCGGAGGTCAGGTTCACTGGGGTAAAGGAAGTTCTGATAGCCAAGCTCCAAAGGATAGCCCAGGTCCTAGGGATTGAGGAGAGGGTCCCTATTAGCCAGGCAGGCAGACTCCTCTTGCCCCGGAAGCGCTGAACTTTGACCCTAAATGCTCCCACTCTCTCACCGACCATCAGCCTCTGACCTTCTCTTTGGCTCGCCAAGGTCTCTAGGCTTCTGTGGAAGGAGCTATCGAGTGATTCTTGCCAATGTTCCAGAGGGCAAGAAATAAAATTAAAGCTCTAGCTTTTCTAACTATGGCTCAAAATCCAGGGATCCTAAAAGAGAAGATGGGTATTTCTGTATACATGAAAAGAAGTAAAAAAAAAAAAAAAAAATTAAAGAAAAAATTCAATAATCCAAGTCAAAAGAGTAATGACATGCTGGGGGAAAAAAATATTTGGAACTCATACCGGAGGAAATAAAAAGCACCTAAAACTAAAGCAAAAAGATCAGCAATGCAACAGAAAAATACACAACAGGCAAAAACAAACAGTTTACCAGAAAAGAAATGAAAATATCCCTCAGGAAGCTGGTGAACCGAGGGAGGATGGATCTTGGCACCACTGTACATGGTATGCATGATGCTTCAATCTCAAGGATGAGCCAGCGCTGAGTTTTGTGCCTAGGTGAGCCATGGCTTTCAAGAGCTGAGAGTTCCATCCATGTGAGGAGCACAGCATCCATGGGACACAAAACTGACTTTGGGGTCCAGGACCTCTGGCACCCTGGGGCCAACTGAGTCTCCCGTGGACCAAGGAGAGAGGCCTGGAACAGATGTTCCCTCGTGGCCTCAGAGGTAATCAACCCTGCTGAAACCTTGCTTTTGGACTTTCAGCTTCCAGAACTGCGAGGCAACACATTTCTGTTTTTAAGCCAAAAACAAATCCCTTAAACACATGGAAATATGTCCAACCTTGCTTATAAGAGAGACATGAATGGAAGGCACACTGAGAGACTTCACACGAGCATCACCGATCAGGACAACCTGACGCTCCATTCTCCTGTGGTGCTCTGAGAGGGATACACCATCACCAGGGCAGTGTTCCTACCCCAAACCGGAATCTACCCATTAGAAAACACTAGAGCAATTCAGACTGTGGGGCATACCAACAACTGGCCTGGACGCTTCAAATATATTTGTTATTTAAAAAAAAAAAAAAAAAAAAGCCAAAACTGGTTTGGCTCAATGGATAGAGCGTTGGTCTGCGGACTGAAAGGTCCCGGGTTCGATTCCGGTCAAGGGCATGTATCTTGGTTGCGGGCATATCCCCGGTGGGGGGTGTGCAAGGGGCAGCTGATCGATGATTCTTTCTCATCGATGTTTCTAACTCTCTATCCCTCTCTCTTCCTCTCTATAAAAAATCAATAAAAAATATTTTTTAAAAAAATCCCAAAGCAAAAGAAGGCAGTTCAACACTTCCGATTAGAGATGAATCAAAATGAATCAAGATGAATAACAATAAATCAAAATGTTATTCTTGACTAGACTCTTTGAAGTTTAAAAAGCTATAAAGGATACTTTTGTAACAACTGGGGAGATCTAATCTAGAACTTGGATACTATTACATTTCATGGCTGTGATCATGGTACTGTAGTTATGCTGGAGAATGTCTTTGCTTAGGAGAAACACATTCCATTTTAGGTATGAAATGTCATGATGTAAAGCCACTTTCAAATGGTTCAGCGAAGAAGTGTGCATTTAGGTGTGTAAAAAAATGGAGCAAGCCGAAACTGGTTTGGCTCAATGGATAGAGCGTCGGCTTGGGAACTGAAGGGTCCTGGGTTCGATTCCGGTCAAGGGCATGTACCTTGGTTGCGGGCATATCCCCAATAGGGGGTGTGCAAGAGGCAGCTGATCGATGACTCTCTCTCATCGATGTTTCTAACTCTCTCTCTCTCTCCCTTCCTCTCTGTACAAAATCAATAAAATATATATATTTTTTAAAATGGAGCAAGCCCTAACCAGTTTGGCTCAGTGGATAGAGCGTTGGCCTGCGGAATGAAGGGTCCCAGATTCGATTCCGGTCCAGGGCATGTACCTTGATTGCGGACACATCCTAGGTAGGGGGTGTGCAGGAGGCAGCTGATCGATATTTCTGACTCTCTATCACTCTTCCTTCCTCTCTGTAAAAAATAAATAAAATATATATTTTTTAAAAGAATGGAGCAAAATGTTCCAATGTAGGAAGCTAGGAGAAGGGTATTCACTGTTCCATTTTCATTTTTCTTTAAATTTGAAAAAAACTTAAGGTACAAAGCTGGGCGAGAGGAACTACACTGAGATACCATTTCTTACCTACTGGAAAGGGGTTCCTAAAAATCCCACAATACACTCAGTGGAAGAGGCTGTGGGGAAACGGGCTGGTGGGAATGCAAAATTAAAGCCCCAGTGAGGGTCGCTGGCCAAGGATAACCAAACCTCACATGCATTTACCATTCCACTTGGCAATCCTTCGAAGTAGATATGCCTCCAGCAAGTCAAGAATACATATGCACAAGGTTGTTCAGTACAGTATTCTTTGCAGAATATTGGAAACTCCCTAAATGTCCAAGCATAGGAGAGTGGTTGAATCAATCATGGTTCATAGTTCATGATGGACTACTTTTCAGCTGTAGAAAGTGGGAAAATATTAAGATCTCTACTATTTGATATGAAATGATTTCCAGGATATACTGTTAGAGTAAAAAAAAAAAAAAAAAAAAAACCTGCTGAAACCGGTTTGGCTCAGTGGATAGAGTGTCGGCTTGGGGACTGAAGGGACCCGGGTTCGATTCCAGTCAAGGGCATGTGCCTTGGTTGCGGGCATGTCCCCAGTGGGGGGTGTGCAGGAGACAACTGATCAATGACTCTCTCTCATCGATGTTTCTAACTCTCTATCTCTCTCCCTTCCTCTCTGTACAAAAATCAATAAAAAATATATATATATTTTTTAAAATAAATAAATAAATAAACCTAAGAAACTAAATATGTTTCCTTTTATGTAAGAAAGAAGGAAGTAGAATATATATTTGCTTATATCTGCATTTTAAAAAACTGGAAAGATACACAAGAAACTAAGCAAACACGTAGGGGTAATGGAGTGAATGCTTGGCGATCTCTTTTACAGTTTCAGTAGTTAACCACCTTTTACCTATTTCACAGTATTTTTTTTTATATTATGATATTCCTGTTTAAATTGCTGGGGTTTCTGTCTCCAGACTGGATTTTTGTTAACAAAATGACCTACTCCAAACAATAAATCATTTTTTTAAAAGACACTACAAGCGTTGGTGTAAAAAAATATCGGGGTTGAAACCCAGCCTGTGCTACTTACTGGCTGTAAGTAGCTATAAGGCCTGGGACTGGTTATGAACACCGAGAAGCTCAGATTCCAGGCTGGAAAAAAGAGCTGACAGTGCTTTCCCTAGGTGGCTGCTTTAGAGCTAAAAGGCCCACCAGGGACGGAAAGAAAGCCTTTTTCTTCCAGAGTTGCTGTTGATCTGGAGCTGCCTAGACTCTGACATCAGACTTCCCTGAATTCATGTCTAAGTTCTGCCTCTTACCAGCTGTGTGACCTCAGACAAACCACTTAACCTCTCTGTGCTTCACTTTCCTCATCTGGGGGGGGGGGAAGGATACCAGCAGTGCCCACCTCAGAAAGTTGTCATGAGAATTAAATGAGTGAACACCATGTTACCACAGTGTCTGGCACAGAGCACACACTCAGAAAAAAAAAATCATTATCATATGCACATGTACAGTGTACTGGGTCACAACGTGAGATATATTTATTCTGGAGGGTCACGGTCAAAAACGTGTGAAAACCACTGGCTTTTAAGCTACTTGACTTTGGGTTTTTTCCGACACCTGCAATCAAAGAGTTGTGACTAATAGAGAAACTCATTCCAGGAGTGGGGCGTGTGAAGTGACAGACACCAAAATATGGAGGTGGCTGAGTCGTAGAAAGTGGTGGCAGGAGTAGGGCATGGGAAGAGGCAGACACCAGAAGGCGGCAGTGCTGAGCCAAGGGGGGGGCCTCCCGGGCCAGCACAGCTGGATGAAGAGACACCTCTGTCTGCTGCGTCAGCACAGAGGTTCAGGGACCAGACAGTCACATGAAACTCTCCATCACTGAAAAAGCCACACCCTCGGCCCCACTCTAAATATAGTGTGAGCAAAAGTAGGTCAACATCAAATCCAGGGGGAGGCAGCACTGAGAGAAGAGAGGAACAGAGAGACCTGGGGAAGACTGACCCTCCCCACCACACACACACACACACACACACACACACACACACTCCTCAGTATCTCCCACTCATTGAGAATACAGACTCAGGCCATGGGACAGAGTGCCTACCTTGTATTGCCAAGACCCCCAGCCAGAACCTGAGAACCCCTGAGTGCTAGGTGGGCCTGAGAGATAAGGGATGGGCAGGGCTCTGAGGCCTGTTGCTAAGAGACAGACACTGCACAATTTAAGTCCAAATTCAAGAAACCTGACCACCTTGGCTCCCGGGTCTAAATGGAAGTGTTCACTGTAGTTACTGTATTGACCCTCTACCACCATACACTGGGCATTCTAGATGTATTTGCATTCATATGTAGCCACAGGTTGCTGGAATGCAAGCAGCCAAGCCAGGGCTACCCAATAATACTAATACCACTTATACAAAGCTTATTATAACCCAGCTCTGCATAGATCAACTCATTTTCAATCCTTACATCAGCTCTATGTGGTAGGTACAATTCTCACACCCACTTTACACGTGAGAAAACTTAGGCCCAAAGAAAGTAAGAGCCCTAGCCGCTTTGGCTCAGTGGATAGAGCATTGGCCCGTGGACTGAAGGGACCCAGGTTCGATTCCAGTCAAGGGCACAGACCTCAGTTGCAGGCTCGATGCCCGGCCCTGGTTGGGGCATGTGTGGGAGGCAACCAACCAATGTGTGTCTCTCACATCAATGTTTCTCTCTGTGTGTCTCTCCCCTACCCTTCCACTTTCTCTAAAAAATCAATGGAAGCCCAGCTAGGGTGGCTCAGTGGTTAAGAATCAAGGTTCAATTCCCATTCAGGGCAAATGCCCAGGTTATAGTCTTGATCCCCACTAGGGGGTGTGCAGGAGACAGCCAATCAATGATTCTCTCTCATCATTGATGTTCCTAACTCTCTCTCCCTCTGATTTTCTCTCTTAAATCAATATATATAATATATATTTAAATCAATGGGGAAAAAATATCCTCAGGGGATATAAGTACAACCAATGGACACAAAACTCTGGGGAGGGAGGGGATGTATGGGGGGGGGCAATGTTAAAATATGTACACAGGTAATAATTTAATAAAAAAAATAAAAATAGCTGAAACCGGTTTGGCTCAATGGATAGAGCGTCGGCTTGGGGACTGAAGGGTCCCGGATTCGATTCCGGTCAAGGGCATGTACCTTGGTTGCGGGCATATCCCCAGTAGGGGGTGTGCAGGAGGCAGCTGATCGATGACTCTCTCTCATCGATGTTTCTAACTCTCTATCTCTCTCCCTTCCTATCTGTACAAAATCAATAAAATATATTTTAAAAATAAATAAATAAAAATTTTAAAAAATAAAAATAAAATATCCTCAGGTGAGGATTAACAAAGAAGTTAAGAGACTGGCCCAAAGCCACAGCACATCACCGAGGTAGAGACAGATTTGGAGTTGTTCTCATGAGAGGCAGGTTGTGTGTGGCTACCACAGGGAAGAGTGCAGTGTTAGTGCAGAAACAGTTTTCAGTTAACATATATCTTCCTTTGGGTACCATCCCAACTCCATGTGATCCCGAAGCAGCCAATCACAGCGCCTATGAATGACCATGTCAGCCACCTGGGCCAATCTCAATACACAGCGGTTAATTCAGGAATGAGCATGTGAATCAAGCAGGGCCTTTTCAGAAACTGGCAAATGGATACTGTGGGGGGAAATTCTTGGCGCTAAGCTGAAAATACAGGGGCCAGGGGCAGCCCAGGCCCAAACTAGATCAACTCTTTTAATGCTCATAACGACGCAAATTTTATCATCTTGATTTCACATTTAAGGAAAGAAACTAAGACCCAGAAGGCTTAGAGTCACACAGTTAGCAAGTGGTGAAGTGAGGGTCAGAACTACTCACGCAGCCAAAACTGGTTTGGCTCAGTGGATAGAGCGTCAGCCTAGCCTGCGGACTGAAAGGTCCCAGGTTTGATTCCAGGCAAGGGCATGTACCTTGGTTGTGGGCACATCCCCAGCAGGGGGTGTGCAAGAGGCAGCTGATCGATGATTCTCTCTCATTGATGTTTCTAACTATCCCTCTCTCTTCCTCTCTGTAAAAACTCAATAAAATATATTTTTTTTAAAAAGAACTACTCAGGCAGTTTGACAGAGAGCAGGCAGCCTTGATGCTAAGTCACAGAGGGAGGTGGCAAAGAGGAAAGGCAAGAGTTTCGAGGAGGAAGGAAGAATCTGTGTCTTGGGAGGAGGGAACTCACCATGCAGGCCTGAGCCAGGCTCATGGCCAGGCGGAAACGGGCAGACATGGCAAGAGGCAGCAGCGGGCTGAGGCTGGAACCCACAGCGGGGTCGATCACACGCAGGCAGCGAACAACAGCTTCCACAACCAGCTCAGCAGTGAAGGCTCGCAGGGTCTGCACGTCCGGAGGAACAGCCCTGAAGAAAAATGGGGGCAGGCTCGATGTGGGGAGCAGTCAGAAAACCAATCAGGCTGGGCTGTGCTGCCTTCCGGAAGCCCTAGCATTGGAGTGGGGCTGAAGAGGACGGCCATGGTTCAGACAGATCCTGGGGGTTGAAGAAGGTGATTTCCATTTGGAAAACTAAGAGCTGAGGATGGCCCTAGCCAGTCTGGCTCAATGGATAGAGTGTGGGCCCTCGAACTGAAGGGTCCCAGGTTCGATTCCAGGCAAGGACATGTACCTCAGTTGCAGGCACATGCAGAAGGCAACCAATCAATGTGTCTCTCTCACATCAACATTTCTCTCTCTGTGCCTCTCCCTTCCCTTCCCCTCCCTCTAGAAATCAATGGAAAACATCCTTGGGTGGGGATTAACAACAACAAAACAGAGGATGTCCTCAGCTCCTAAGAACTTGCTGCAGGAGAAGAGTGGATGGAAGGGATCTGAGCTGAGAAAATCTCCAGTTTCCCTATGCTTAAAAGCCCCAAAGTACTGGGGTCTGGGAAGGGCAAGGGGCTTATGTGGTATAATCTCTGGGTTTCTGGTCCCCAGATGTCATGTTCTCTAAATGTCAGAGGCTCCTGGATATTAAGCTGCTTGAGTTTTGAGACTATATGTTGGGAGGCTGGAGTTTCCAGAAGTTCCAAATGTCAGGATCCCTGAATTCAAGCAATCCAGAAATCAGGCTCCTTACAGGATGGCATCTGGATTCGCCCCCGAATGCAGGAGTCCTGTGTGTCCGGGTCACCAGGCCTTGAGGCCGTCAGAATTCAGGCTCCTGGACTTTTAATAGCCCCAGGTGCTGGGAATCTGAGTTTTAAAGTTTCCACGCATCCACTCCCCGAGTTTTGGGAATCCCTGAGTGGGAGGGTGCTGGGGTTTTAAAGTTCCCCAGTTCTCAGGAGATAGGCGCCTTAGAATCTCCAGGCATCAGGATCCCAGGAACGTGATCTTAAGATCACAGATTTCAGGGTCCCTGGTCTTGAGGTTCCAACGTTTTAATGTTTCCATGTGTCTGGGTCCTTGATCTGGGGGTTTCACAAGTGTCGGGCTTGAAAGGCTCCGGGGTGTGTGTGTGTGTGTGTGTGTGTGTGTGTGTGTGTGTGTGTGTAAGGGGAAAGGGTTGTAGGATCCTGGAAGTTGGAGCCCTGGATAGCAAGGACCAGGGTTTTAAGGTTCCCGGGTGACTGGGTCCGGAGTTTTGGAGTCCCGGATATAAGCATGCCGGGGTGGGCGGGGGCTGTGTCCTTACGTGCCGGCCTGGCGCAGGGAATGGATGAGGATTCGGTCTGCCTCTTCCATGGTGAAGCTGTGTCCGAGTCTGGGGCTGGGTCCAGGGCCGGGTCCAAGAAACGAACAAGAGAGGCGAGCAGTGGAAACCCAGCCCCGCGCCCGCGGTCCAAGGAGTGTCACGGGCCGCCCCGGGCGCGCTGGGTAATGTAGTTCCAGCAGCGCCTGCAGCTCCGGGAGCGCCCCGGGCGGATGTGGGCGCGGGGTCGGCCCCACAATGGCTGCTAGGAGTTGTAGTTCTTCCGCCTACACTGCAGCGGGCTCTCGCAAGTTTGCAAAAAAGAGCGGATCCTCCTGCATGTGCGCGCGCGCGCGCGCGTTTTGGAGCTGAGCGCGCTCCGGAGCGCCTTGGGGCGCGCGCGGTGCGTGCGTGTGCGTGCGCGCGCGCGCGCGCGTTGAAAGGGCGGGGCGAAGGGGGACTTCTTGACTCTTTCATTTAGGGCGGCGTTCCTTTTCCAGGGGCTTCATCATAAGGAAGGACAACAGCCTGTGATTATTGCAATCGAGAGTCTAGTGTAGGCGGGCAGGGGCTGTAGCACGCAGGGTCCAGGGTGGAGTCTCAGCTCTTGAGCTCGGATCTTTAGCTCAGCTTGCTAACTGTGCCATGCTGGCTGGGTTACATAACTTCCCTAATCTTAGTGTCCTCGTCTCCAGGCCCGGTTCCGCTTTCTGCTGTTTCCCGAGATCAAGCGCCATCTGGAAATATTAAGCGGAAATTTCCAGAAATAAATCATTCGCAAGTTTTTCAATCGCACGCCATTCCGAGTAGCGTCATGAAATGTCGGGCCACCTGGCTCCGTTCCCTCCCCTCACCCTATCCCGCCCCCCAACGTGAATCATCCCTTTGTCGCTGTAAATGCTACCTGCCAATTAGTCACTTAGTAGCCTTCTCGTGATCAGAAGCACTGTGACAGGATTGCAGTGCTTCTGTTCAAGGAACCCTTATTTTATTTAATAATGGCCCCGAAGTGCAAGAGTGGTTATGCTGGCAATCCAGATATGCCGAAGAGAACCATAAAATGCTTCCTTTAAGAGAAAAGCTGTATATGCACCGCAGGGAGGGGGAATATAGTATATCCAGGGCTCAGTACTAGGGCTCTTTCAGGCTTCCACTGGGGGACTTGATAGATAAGGGGGAGACTATTGTACCTGCTTCCTTTGATTAAAACAAAATTAATTCATGTAAAGCACGTTGTACTATGTACCTGACACATAATAAAATAAGAAAAGAGTATGTACATTGTAGCTATGAAGTAACCATGCATTTAGTAAATGCTTTAATATGTTATACATGTGTATACAATTCAATGAGTGTATATAGATGCAGTAAACATCTATAAAACCACCATTCGTTACAAAGATCACCCTAATGCGGTCCTGACACATCTGATCTGTACTTCAATAAAAGATGTTTGCTTTGCCAAAACCGGTTTGGCTCAGTGGATAGAGCGTCAGCCTGCAGACTGACAGGTCCCAGGTTTGATTCCGGTCAAGGGCAGGTCCCAGGTTTGATTCCGGTCAAGGGCACGTACATTGGTTGCGGGCACATCCCCAGTGGGGGGTGTACAGGAGGCAGCTGATTGATGTTTCTCTCTCATCAATGTTTCTCGCTTTCTATCCCTCTCCCTTCCTCTCTGTAAAAAAATCAATATATATATATATATATATATATATATATATATATATATATATATATATATATAAAAGATGTTTGCTTTGCAAAAAAAAACTGTCTTCATTGCTCAGTAGTGCCATGTATGTCATAAAGCATGGGTACATATATGTAGTACTCAGGTTTGGAACTTCATTCTGTTTTTAATTACTGCAGCTTTACAACAAGCCTTGATATATAATATGGCAAATCCTCCTCCGATCTTGTACTTGTTCAAAGGATTTTGGCTTTTCCAGGTCCTTTGTAACCAATATACATTTTAGAGCCATCTTGTCAAATTCCATGGAAAAACTTTTGAGATTTTGTTTGGGACTGCATTAAATCTTTAGATCATTTTGAAAAGAATTGACATCTTCCCAGTTTTTACTATTTCAATTCGTTAATTTAATATATACTGGTATGTCCATTTATTTTGGTCCCCTTTAATCACTTGATAATATTTGATAATTTTTTCTGCATGGGGATCTCACACATATATTATTTTAGTTCTATTCCTATGCACTTCAAATTTCAGATATTGCTGGAAAATATCATTTTATTTTAATTTCTAACTGGTGCTGGTATATATTTTGTAAAAATATGTTTTTAGCCCAGCTAGCGTGGCTCAGTGGTTGAGCATCGACCTATAACCTGGAGGTCCAGGTTCAATTCTTGGTCAGGGCACATGCCTGGGTTGCCGGCTCCATCCTCCTTGTGGGGCCTGCAGGAGGCAGCCGATCAATGATTCTCCCTCATCACTGATGTTTCTATCTCTCCCTCTCCCTTCTTCTCTGAAATCAATAAAAAAATGTTTTTTAAATATTTTTTTTTTAATCAGTGCCTTTTCTGTTACCAGGCTCTAGCCCACAAATGTCCCATCTTTGACCCTGCTCACCCTCCATCCAATCCAACCCTGCTATGGCCCCGTCCAGTGACCTTAATCTCTCCAAAGCTGGGGGAAGAGAGGGGGGCTGTTTGCAGATGGCTCTTCAACCTTGAAAGGAGGATGTCGGCATCTGAAGGCGGGAAAGGTGAGAGCAGCCTTCCACCCCTGCAGACCCTTTGAGCAACCCTAGGCTCTGCTCTCCCCCTGGCCCCTCTGACTCACCCACTGCCCACCAGGACCCCACCCCTGGTGAACCACCAGGTGACCAGGATCATCCTGTTCCCATCCCAGACAACCCCAAACACAGCCTTACCTCCAACTAAGCCATGAAGCTCAGCGTGACCCAGACGCTGCTCTCTACGGCCTCCCTTCCCCATCCATAGCCATAGTTACCAGCTGAAACCCAACCCCAATCCTGGCTTTGACCCTTATCCTAGTGCCACCCATCTTCAACTCCACAGCCAGCCCCAGGGTTAATCCTAACACAAACCATACCAACCAGAGGGCAAATCCCCATTCGAGTCCAAACCCCAATACAGATACAGACCTTACCACGAGCTCTAAAGTCACCTAACCTTAACCCCCAGCCCCTGGATGTCAATACTGTTAGCAGGTGGCTCTCTGGCTTTCCAGAAAGAGTGCAGATCCATTTTTAAGGGGGAAATAGAAATAGAGAACACACACAATGGTGGTAAGTTGTGAGAGCTTGCTGCCAGAGTCTACCTGGATTTGACTCCCAATTCAACCACTTCATCAAATCACTTAACCCCTCTTTTTGCATCAATTTCCTCACCTGCAAAATGGGAATAATATTGTGTGCCAGGCAATCTTCTAAATGTTGAACTAACTTAATCCTCACAACAACCCTATAATACAGGTTCTCTTAGTATCATCCTATTATACAGATAAGGAAATTGAGTCTCAGAGGAGTTATGTAAGTTGCTCAAGGCCGCATGCAGCTATCAAGTGGTAAAGTCAGGATTGAAACTCAGCTTCTTTCCTCCAAAGCTGGGACTCTTAACCAGGTCAATCTACTGCCTCTCAGAGGCTTAAGCAAGGCCATGGGGGTTGGGAATGACCTTAGCTGAAAATCCCAATGCAAAACTCAGATCCCATCCTTAACTTCAGCTCCAACCTTGACCCTAACTCTAATCCCAGGTCACTCAAATACCCAGTCCTAACCCTAAATCAGAACTCAAGCACACTCCACTCCTACCTGTATTTAAACCCAACCTAAAAACCCACCACTTGAATTTACCCTAAATCTGCCTCCAGCTATAAACTTAATGGTACCCCATGCCAATTTAAACTATCCCAAGTCTAACACCAAATTCTACTTCACTTGGAAACGTAACCTCACCTTCACTCCTCTATAAACTCCCCCTTTACCCCCAATCAATTCCAAAACCAGCTCTTACCACCCCAATCCTCAGGTACCCCTAGCTTTTCCTACTTTTATATGTTCTTCTTTCCTTCCCTCAGACTTGATTGCCCTTAATAACCTGTCCCTCCTGACTTGATTTCTCCACCCAGACATCACCCCAGAGCCCAGTCCAGCCAATGGGGCAGGCCCTGGTCCTGAATGGGGGCTGTGCCCTGGACCCCCAGAGTCAGGAGGTGAAATCAGTGGGCCATCAGGCCTGGGAACACCTAAGCGAAGGACTCAGCACAGTAAGCACAAGATGGTGGCAGTGGCCAGCGTTCAGCGGTCACCCCGGGCGCTCTTCTGCCTCACCCTGGCCAACCCTCTGCGGCAGTCCTGCATCAGCATCGTGGAATGGAAGCATCCTGGAAAGCCAGGGGCAGGCTACAGGGGGTGAGGTCATGAGAGTACTAAGAGTGAGGGATTTGGGTCAGGATTAGCATGGATCAAGGGTCAAGTACTGGTTTTGGGGGGAATTTGAGAAAAGTGAAGGTCATTCACCAGGGAGGCAAGAGTCAAGGACTAAACCACAGCAAGAGTTTAAGATGGCCATCCAGGGGAGTCAGAGTCAAGGCCTTGGTCAGGGTAGGGGCTGGGAATGTGAGGGCTAGACACCTCGGGGTCAAGGGTGAGCATTGGGTGTGGAGGACCCCAAGGGAATGTTGGGGTTCTAAGGCTGCTTTGCCTGGGTCCTTGACTGTGTCCACCTGAGGCCTTTCGACATCCTTATCCTGCTGACCATCTTTGCCAACTGCGTGGCCCTGGGGGTCTACATTCCCTTCCCAGAAGACGACTCCAACACTGCCAACCACAACCTAGTGAGTTCTGCTTCACCATGCCCGCCCTGTCAGACACAGCCCCAGCAGAATTACACCTCAAGCCTTCCAGCCAGGCCCTCTCTTCTCTGATCCAGATGCCTCACCTCTGCCCTGCCCGGCCCTCTGTCCCGGCTATGCCCTTTCCCCCTACCTCTACCCCCATCAACCCCCAACCCAATTAACTCCGGGATCTCCGGCTCCATCCTCAGGAGCAGGTGGAGTACGTATTTCTGG